AGATCATGACTTTAGCCTTTGGCTGTAGCTTATTGATCCTCACATCCTTATGTGTGTGGACATAGGCTTTGCAGCTCCATACTCGAAAGTACAATACATCCGGAACTGTGCCGTTCCATTTAGTGATGGGCGGCTTCCATTGATGATGGCGCAGAGGTTGTTGATTGTAGATGTGTACTGCAGTTTCTGATGCTAGCTTCCAGAACCCAGACATCATGCCAGCATGATGTCACATAGCTTTTGCCTTATTTTGAATGGTCTGTTGCCAGCATTCTGCTCTGCCATTCTGTTGTGGTGTTCGCGCCACTGAGAGTTGACGCTCTATTCCACGTTCTGCTAGGAAATCGTCAAATTCGCGGCCTAAAAACTCCCCCCCACGGTCTGAACGTATAGCCTTGAGCTTGCGCTCGGCCTGTGTTTCCGCCCAAGCGACGAATTGCTTGAAGGCAGAGAAGGCATCAGACTTCTGTTTCAGATACCAGACTAAACCAAATGAGGAATAGTCGTCGAGGGTGATCAGGGCAAACTTGTACCTGTCAAGTGATAACAACGGATATTCAACAAGATCCATGTGAATTAAGTCGAGGGGATGATCCGCACGACTGTCAGATGCAGGAAATGCATCGCGATGAGACTTCCCGAATTCGCATCCATCACAGGGAGTATCCCTGGTTGGAGCTGAGATCTTATCCGGGATGTCTTTAACATTGCCAGGTAGTTGAACAACTGATTTCTTCCCGGCGTGTCTGAAGCAACGGTGCCACAAAGTATATGGATCGTCGGATTTGACCGACATTAATGTTTCTGGCTTAATCTCGCTGGTCCTTGTGAGGACTTCAGCTTCTAGCCAATATAAACCTGACAGCTTTTCATATTCGCCCTCCATTAAAACTGTCCGCTTACTCGCGGAGTAATTTAAACTTCTTGCCATCCATCTCAATACGGTGACCATTATTGAGAGGCATTCTGGGCGCAAAGAACCGTTCTGCTGCTTCCGGTATGTATAGTACGGTTTCTAACCAGATATGCTGTATTCGTCCATCTGTAAGACGATGTTGCAGAGCGATTTCACTGTGACCTTTGATTTCGATAGTCTGACCTTTGCCGGCCATGTGTGCGTGACCTGGCTTAGGGAATTCATGATATCAAATAAAGTCAGTTTTGTACGGTGTGACATGGGTCGTGCAACCGCTGTCAACCATCCACTTAGACTTGACACCCGTAGCATAAAGAGAAACAGAGATGGATTCTTCCTCGATCTTTGCTACTAGTGGTACATCGACAAGTCTAATAGTATTTACTGTCTGAGTGGTAGTTGTGGTATTGTCCTTCGCTTTGCCCTTTCCTTTTCCCTTCTTGCGCTTTTCACCACCCTGCTGCTGCTGCTGCGTGTTGTTGCTGTTACTGGAACTCGAGCCAGCATTCGCCGGCTTTGTGTTCCAGTGCTGCTCCGTTGTGTGATTCTTGCGACCACACTTCTCACATTTCCTGTCAAGGAGAGGCGCCTTCGAGACGCATGCAATCTGAGTGCGGTTTGCAACGCAGCACTGTTCCTCCTCGACAATCTTGGGCTTGATGAGCGCTGCTGTGAGCAGCGTAACATTGGTTTGCATGGTGAGAATTGTACCAGCAATGGTCTGGTACAACTTGGGGAGAGCATTGATCATGAGCAAGGCAAGAAGCTGAGGTTTGACCTCTATTTCTGCCGCGTTGACCTGGTTGGACTGTTCTGTGAGCGCATTGAGTTGCGGGCCGAGCACGGAGCTGTCAGAAAGCTGCGCATTGAACAGCTTCTGGAAGGCGACGAATGCGCCTACCACTCCAGGTTTCTCGTAACCGGCTTTGATCGCTGTCCATGCGTCCAGGGCCAAGAACTTGTCATCAACTAGATGACGAAGGTTCTGTGCGACATAGAGCTGGATGATTCCCAGCGCCTTGTCATTTTTCTCATCCCATGCAGCTTGAGCCACAATTTCTGTAGCCGTGGGTGTACCTGTTGCAGCTATTGGTCTGGCAAGACCAGAGACAGGAACAGTCACTGTGGAGCCATATCTCTGGATCAAGTACCAGACGCCCTGGTAACACAGGAAGGCTCGGATTGCGTCGGACCACTTTTTATAGTTGGTGCCGTCGAATTGTGGGATGGTTGAGGTAGCGAGCTTGATAGGGTCAGAAGAGGATGACATTGTTATCGTGTACAAAGAGAAGGCGAGTATAAGCGTAGAGTGTTTCACGTTCCTTTGGCATTAATCCGACTTTGTAGAAGAATTCACTGAGATTGAGCTCGTATGATTTGGCTCATGTCGCTTGAAGTGATTCCCAATCGTCTTCCAAGAATTTGAAGTTGTAGACTTGATTGATCGGTCTATAGTATAGATCTACCTCAATATTTTCCTGTTTGAGATAACAGGCGTACAGTTCTGAATATGTATCAGAAGTTGTAGGAAAGAAGATGTTGATGATGTCTTCGTCAGGATTAACTAACTTCGCTGATGCGTCGTATGTTGGTGGACCGTGTGTATCGTCTACGTAATTAAAGTACTGTGGGGTAAAGAACAGCTCGACGTATTGTTTGTATGCTGTCAATAATTCCCAAGGTGTGTCGTCTTCTTGGATATTCAGTTGCTGTCTGAATTCCGCGACGGTTTCCTATTTTGTCTCTATGGTTTCAGGTACCGTATTTGTCTCCTGAGAGGTAATGGTTGTGTACGCTGTTGAGCGAACCACTTATCCCAGCTAAGCTGATTTAGCCGAGAGGTGGATAGAGTTGGAATTGGACAAAGGGACCAGTTAAACTACGACTCTTGTTGTCGCTTAGGATAAACACACAGTAGCCAGGTTTCCGAGTAGAACTTTCTTCTGATTGTTACAATAGCGTTGTATACAAAGTATCTACTTGTTTTCGTAAAACCTAACCGCGTCAAAATATCCGTTCACGTAAACTGCGCTGAGCGCTTGTACAATCCGGGCTTTGTTCTTGCGTAGCCCTTTGAACTAGATATCCCCTATTTCTCTGCATCCTAATTCCCACTTGCGCCACTCCTCGTATTTGACGACGTTACAGACGTCCGCTAGACAGTGCTTGATGCGTGTAAGCTGTTCGATGAGTCGGCGAAGATTGCGGACTCAGTTGGAGTTGAGGTCGTCGAGCTCGAGAGTCTTGAAGACGTCGAGGCGTTTGAGCGTGCCTTCGAACTTTGGTGTGAAGATGCGGACGAGGTCGGTGGAAGTGTGCTTGTCGAAGTCAATGAGTACCGGCTTCGGGGTGATCAGCGTATGTGTCACCGGTGGGATGGCAGCGAGACGCTGCTTGAGTGTCAGCTTAGACAGACCGGCAAGGATCTGTTCGCGTGCCTGTTGGATTTTGGGTGCAGCTAGATGCTGCTCAAAGTCGGCCTTGTCGGTCGCGTAGCGCTCGCGAAACTGTTCGCGACATAGGTGCCTACCCTCGTGTGAGTTCAGAGGGAACGGGAGGGTGAGCACTGGAGTCGGCGGGCGTAGTTCTTTGCTGCGGCATTTACCATACGGGACGGTCTCGACGGGGTCGTTGGCATTGCTGGAGGCGGGCGCGTAGCTGGCGGAGTGCTTGTACCGCTGGAAAACGGAGTAAGGGGGACGAGCAGGCAAATCCTTTGGCACTAGATTAACGCAGGAATGAACACAATGAGCACTCCATCTGCCACTAGCACGCAACAAGACTTACTCATAAACTGCATGGATAAACTTGTTTAAAACTGGGTGAAGGAGACCGAGGTTTCCCGAGGGGTCTTCTTCAGCAATGAGACTAGTAGAGTGGGGGTAGAGTGGCCGTGAGGCCAGGGCTCATAACCTGTGAAAGTGCGACTGAACTCTTGCTTTATTCTGTGCTACAGGACCAGTATATATACATGTGAGTCGGAACCTCTGATACTGCTATAAGACCTATGGTACTGTGAGCGTAAGCATGTATACTAAGCATGAGTAATCAGATGTCGTATTACTACAAGATAATAGAGAGATCATGTGATGATATCCCCATTAGTCCGTACAGGGCAATGACGTAATCACCCAGTTCTGGCAGCACTATCAGCACTGGGCAAAGACATGCAACTTCTGTCCAATCTATTTGCCAGTACGCATCACGGGCCCTATAACAACGTGCCAAAATGCATCGATTGGTTCAAGAAGGCACTCGCTTGGCCAGACAGAGATTTTCGCCATGAGTTCCGGTATGTGGCTTGTAATATTTTCATCTGCTTTCATGCTGAGGATGCCGTATAACAGAGTTAGCTGCCAGACGTTTGATCAGCTCGTGCATCTGCTCTCGTCGCACCCTATATTTAAATCAACAGGGAGGAAGCCGCAACGTCCAGTGCAAGTCCAGTTCGCATGCTACTTGTTGCGTTTTGGCAAGCTTGGGGCAGATGCCCTTGACGTAGCTCACAAGATGGGGATCAGTTTTGGCACAGTATACCTCTACTGCGAGTGCATCATTTGTGTCTTGCGGGAGATGGGGCTTTTTGTTTGCTCATGGGGCAATGATGAGAGGCACGCTCAGTCGAAGGCAGTATTCAGCGAAAACGGATTTCATGATTGTATTGGGGTGGTCGACGGCAGTCTTATTTGGCTGACTGCACAACCAAAAGAGGAAGGTGTTGTCTATATTTGCCGCAAGAAATTTGCTGCGGTGCGCTACCAACTTTGACCTCTACCAGCTAAGAGCTGACCAAAGTATTCAGGTTAATATACAAGCTGTTGTTGATGCCTTTAACAGATTCATATCCTTTGAGACGGGTTGGCCAGGCTCTGTTCCAGATGTCACAATTTGGAAGAAATCACACCTATGGATCCACCGGCATCAGTTTTTCAAGCCGGGAGAGTATTTACCAGCAGACAAGGGTATGCATTTATTGCTCCAGTTTTCACTCATTTGCTAACCTGACAATGCAGGATACCCATCCACGCCATTCTTATCGCGACCATTCACAGAGCCAAAAGTGAACGCGTTCAGATAGGGTCCAGAGAAACAACGGAGACGGCAATTCAATAAGCTTCTCTCGGGCAAGTGTATACTAGTTGAGCACACTTTTGGGATGTTGAAAGGCTGCTTCCCTGCCCTCAAAGTGCTCAGTACGCCAAACAACATAGACGACGTGTATCGGATTGTCAAATCGTTGATGGCCCTGCACAATATTTGTATCGACCTTGGTGATCACCCAGAAGACATCTATGGCTACGACCCATCAGACGATCCTGATGTGGCTAATGGCAACGCGGACATTGATGTTGACCTTTCACAGTATGGTGGAGTTACCGGAGACGAGCCTGCTGACATACCAGTGTTGAAGACGGAGGCGGCATTGCAGACAGCAGGGTATGAGATGCGGCTCCATTTACTTAATGCATTGTGTCCCGTCGAGTAACAAAGAGACTACGTTAAAATTCATCAAACTTGAAGTACTTCATCATGAAATTTTTGGCCTGATCAACGACATCCATCGAATACAAATCCAGGTTCCGAGACGCTTTGCCTACAAGATCCTGGCACTTATTATACTTAGCAGCCCTCGCGACACGCTGCTGTTCGGTCTCCTTCTGTTTTGCCCTCTGAGCATAGAGCTCATCATGTCTCGCCATACTCTCGCGCATAGCATCTGCGATTGCAAACATACCGCTAGCAGACTGAGCCGCAGCGGCAACAACCCCCTTGACTGCGCGTGACTTGTGCGGTGGGACGTTGAGTGGCCAGTATCCTGCTGCTTTCAACGATGTTTCGCGTACAAGACCGGCTGATGGCAACTGCTGATCAACATCATCATTGTCATCGTTGTTGCTTTGATTGTTGTCTTTGCAGTCACTGATGCATCCGGAGTGACGAGGCTTGGGCTGGCGGAGCTCTAAATTCTTGCCCAACCTGTAATATGTTTGAGCAGGCATCAGCGGAAAGAGGCATAGCTAAACGCACCCAACTGATAGCATATTGAACCACCCTTCGGTATCCCACTGGCGAATGATCTCAGGTGTAATTGATGGGCCAAACTCCAAGGATCGCGTCTTCATGAGATAGTCCATCTTTGCCTGGAGCTGTTCATCCTCAGACACTTGCTCATCAATGTCACCGGCACCTCCAGTGCACAAGTGAACATCCGCAATCTTGCTGTACACCTGCTTTAGAGCCCAGAACTGTGCCTTGCATGATGCAGCACTGCGACGCCCATTGAAAGCCTCAGCCGAGGCCTAGGAAGGGGTTAGCTTCATGATTGTTGACCACATTAGCACGGTGAGTACAAACCTTCTTGAAAGCCTTGGCTGATGGCTTGCCGCTTTGAACATAAGGGTTACCAGCGCCGTCGGGGGTGAAGAGCGCTGAGAGGAGTGTCGTCTTCTCACTGGCTGACTAGTGCTTGCTAGCCAGATCATCGGCACCTTGTTCATCTTCGTCCAAAAAATCATCCTCGTCGTCCTCGTCTTTGGCAAGAGCTGGTTGTTGTGCAGGGCGGCCATCAGATGCTTTGGTGGGCTGACTCTTGGAGTTTGGGATCGAAGTCTTGCTGGAGCATCCGATCAAGCTTGCGGGCTTCAGACGAGCGGCAGTACCGGCAGTTTTATTGCGCTTCACAGGCTTGTGAGAGGGTGGCGCCTGGAAGGGCGTCTTGGGTAGTGTTGCCAGAAGGTGAAGGGGCCTTAAGCATAAGGCGAGGTAAGGTCGCCTTAAGCCGATTTGTCAGCACCTTGAGACACCTCGAGGCAACTTAAGGTCTCCTTATGTGGCCTTCAATCAACGCCGCACGTTTGCGCATGCCAGACCGTGACCCCATACGCTTCCTGCCGCCTTCCACCTTTGTACATTGTCCTCCTCTACCTCTTGCCCTCCTCTTGTCATCTGTGGCCCTCTGGTCGGCCTTGGACTGAATTTGAAAATTTTGGATATGTACATATGCCCTACAGTTAACAATAACATATTTTGTGCATAATGGCGTCAAAATATTCACCGAAATCAATTAACCGAATGTGCTGCCACCCACCAAATCGACAGCACGCTCGCTGCGCTAGCCTCTTCCCCCGACGTGGGTCCGAGCCCTGATAACCCCTATTTCCCTATTGAGTACTCCCCCGGGCCCTCTGTGCAGCAAGACCACGGCCAGCCGGCTTAGTGAGACTCAGAATTAGAGCACTAGAGTGTGACTGCGAGGCTTGGAAAGGCTTCCAATGGTACCTCATCTTCTGCTGCGCTATAGGGTATGCCAGAGGCCTTAAGACGCGCAGAAGAGCAAGACTGACTTGAAGTAGATGCAGAAATTACATTTTATGATCCTGTCAGTCTCGAACCTGCAACACCCGGGCGACTTCAGCTGCTTGGGATACCGATAGGTTGGCACCACCCGATTCCTTTTTTTCATCATGCGATACTCACACATAATTCGTAGGATGAAGAGGTGCCTTGGCTGAAGAGCAGGATGGTAATGACTCTGATTTGGATGAATGTAATTTATATTTGGATCAATGCATTGTGGCCCGTCTATAGTACAATGTTCTTTGTACCGTCCTCGCGCACTTGCCGGTGGGGTGTGAGCCTACTGTTTAAGGAAGCCCATCAATCGGCCTTGCCTTAAGCAACATAAGGCCGCCTTATGCCGGACCTTAAGCAACCTCGAGGCGCTTAAGGCCAGAAACTCCGATGCCTCGAGGCCCCTCGACC